TGCGGCGGCGGAGGGGAGCATGCGGTGTGCGATCATTTCCTGAGGGGCGTTGTGGCGTCGCCGTTTGGGCGCCGAAAGGGCGGAGGTGGAGATGCCCTGCGGCGAAGAAGGGGCGGCATGCGGCGAGGCAAGGCGTGCAGCGATGACGATTGGCGGCTTCAGACGCCACTGCCGCCGTGGATTGCCGTGTGTGTTGGTGTGTGGGCGGCGTCAGCCACTGTTTCTCTCTTTTTGTGTGTGGTTGGGAATGCGGCCCGGTGGGGGGAATTTTTGTTTTACACCGGCTGAGGGTTTTTTTTTTTTTTGCGGCTGCGTCCTTCAGGAGCGGTGCCCGGTGCTGTTTTGTGGCTTTTCTGCGCCGTGCGCAGGCGTCTCCCACGCTGGCGGGCACAACCCTCCTCTTCCTGGTGTGTGTGTGTCACTCTCACCCTCCTTTCTTTCTTCTTCTCTCTGCCCCTTGCTGGATTTTGCGTGCGCGTGCTTCGGTGGCAAGACTGAGGATGGCTGGCCGTGTGCTGTTGGTGTGCGCCCTCTGCGTGCTGTGCTGCGCCGCCGGCGGTGCCGGTGCGTGGGGCAGCGGCTACTGCACGGAGAGTGACTTGGAAGGACTTGCGGGTCGTCGCGGAGGACATGACGGAGGCGGAGGTTGAGGGAAAGCACTGCAGCCACAAGCCGGAGCCTCTGAGAGGGATGCGGGCGAGTGTGCAGTCTGCTGATGGTGATGGCGAGGGGGTAACAACTAATGGTGACCAGAGTGAAATTGATGATGTGCAAGGAAGCGATCCTGGAACTGCCGGCGGAGGAGAGCCCACGCAGCAAAGTGATGACGAAAATGGGTCAGGCTCAGAGAGGGCGCTGGAAGAGCCAAACTCCACTGGGTTAGAGCAGAATTCGGAAGAGACATCACCACCACGGCCACCAGCGCCTGAAGCACCAAAAAAAGAGAAAGAAAACCGGACAGGCGAGGTGAAGAACACTGAATGTGCTCTGGAAGAAGAAGGACCTGAAGTTTCAGGGAAACGTGAAATGCAGGGGTGTGGAACATCAAGGAAGTCGGAGGACGGTTTACAGAGTTCATCATCAGAGGAAAACTTGTCTTTGACGAACCCAGGAAAAGAGGATTCATCGCCAAAACCCGCTAGCGAGGGAGAAACCGGTAACAATAACGTTGGGAAGGGTGCCAATGCCGAACAGCAAAGCCAGCAGCAGCAACGACAGTTGGAAGAGAGTGGGGCACAGGAAGACACAAAAGCACGCGAAACATCAGAAGAAAAAGCTGCAGCTTTGCCCACAAGCCAACAAAACCATCCTTCACAGCCACAGACACGTGCACAAGAGACTCAAAACGGGGTGGATGCCACGAAACAATTGAGCAGCAGTGACGCCGCAGGCCCACCGGGTGTTACAACAAGTCAGATATCAGCTGGAAGTCATGCGCAAGCAACTCCATCACCCACCTCTGAAACTGGAGATGGCACCGCTGGCACTCAGGCGGAAGACTCCACAGAGAAGAACTCCAAAGGAAAGACTGAGTCAGACTCTTCAGTAGCTCCACACGGCCAGCAGGATGTTGCTACCGCGGGCGCAAAGACGAGCGGTGACAAGGAACCTGCAGCGGCAGCCGAGGGCGCCGTCACCAACAAAAACAACTCAGCGATTACGGCTGACAGTGACAGCAGCGCCGCGGCCTCGCACTGCATCTCCCCCCTTGCGCTTCTTCTTCTTGCGTGTGCGTCCGCTGCTGCGATGGTGATAGCGTGAGACAGAAAAAAAGAGAGGGAGAGAGAGTCGCGCGCAGCTCTTTCTCCTCTTTGTTTCTCTCTTTGTTTGCGTCCTCCTGCACGGACTCTCGCCCTCGCCTCACCCCACGAGGCACACACAAAGAATGTGCTCATACATACACGTCCACTCGTGCAGCTCGCTGGTCTTCTTTTTTTGCTTTTGACGAACCGCCGCTGCCGTTCTGCTTGGCTGCATGGGTAGAGCACCGTAACTGTTTTTATCATTTTAATTGTTTCATTGCTTTCGGTGGGCGACCTTTCTCTCTTTCTCTTCCTGGATTGGGCTGTACGGGAGGAGAAAGAGTGAGTGTGTGTGTCCTGGTCGTCCCACTGCTCGGCGGACGCCTTCACGCTTCGGCTTCGCTTCACGGGGTTTGTTTTGTGTTTCTCTGTTTGTTTGTGTTGTTGCTTTGATTGACCGCACCCATTCCGCAGCCTCTGCCGGAGACGTCAGTTTGTTGTAGGCGTCTGCATCTTTTTGTGTGTGTCTTTCCATTGTCTGTTTATTTCTCTTCTCGCACCGCCCC